GTTACCACTTTTCGGACCAATGAACCTTCGGACCAATGAACCTTCGGACCAATGAACCTTCGGACTATCGAGACGCCCCCGTATGGAGACCAGGGAATTTTCTTAAGAAGACAAATTCTTGAGAAGATTGGTGGGGTACCTGAAACCCTTTTGTTTGAGGACTTTATCTTGGTAGGTGGAATAATATCATGGCGTTTGTAGTTATATAAAATGCATACAATGAGTCAGGAAAAGAAGAGAAACTGATTGAAATTAATTACATTTTTGGGTATTTTTTAATTTCTTTCTTCCAGGTTTTTTTTTTACAGATATTTCAAATTTGCAGTGTCACGAAATATGAATCATCTGTTAAACCTAAATTACATATGCCACAGCTGCCATAAGATAAAATCATATACAATTTATACGTGATAATTGCAGTTGCTGTACACCTTCCATGTGGTTTCCTTGAGGCCAAATATGCTGTTGATGCAGATCTCTACAATTTTTAGCACCCATGTGGTCAGAATGAGAAAATGCTCAACTTCAAATTCGTGCAAGTGAATTACACTAAGTTTTAAACTAAACTTCTTTAATATTGTTATGCCACATAAAACAACCAAAAGTGGGAGAAAAAAACCATACAAATTTCGCAGGGCTGCCTCTGCTCAGACACCATAGAAAAATGGATTTACGGGCAGTATAGGAGCGTCATGTGGACATCCCATGGCAAATGTAACCTAGGCTTTATGCTTGAAAGTGAAACTGGCCAAATCTGAAACAAAAGGATAAAGATTTTAAAACATATTTAATGAAAAAGAAACAATATTTAAATGGCCAAGAGGTACTTTTTTTTTTATTTCGTCAGTCTATTGCATTTTGGTTTAAAAGATGTGATTCAATTTTCTGATATTGTTTGAGGTTCTTAATTTATTCACATAAACCCAGTACAGTGTATTTACCTTTGCTAATATAAGAGGTCTCCCACCCTCCATTTCCCTGTTATCAACTGATTGATAAATAATCGCACATTGGTATGCTTCATTTTTTAAGGTCACCTCAATTCTGCCATTAAGCAGACAAAACAAAAACCAACCCATGAGTGGATCCAAGAATACTAGTAACCCTTGCTTTGGCAGTTTGGCCCCCCCCCCCCGTCCCCCCCCCCCCAGCACATACACACACATGCACACACGTGTGCACACACACACATGCATATGCTCACAAACATATCTTTCACACACAAACACACACACACAACCTCCTTTCATGGTCTTCTGCTGTTAGTGTGTGAACTAGTGAATAGAGGAAAAAAGAATCATCCTACTGTGATTTATCAGTTGCAGTCAGCCGACTGTGCACGGAAGTTAATTACCCCCTTACAGTTGGCGGGACGGACATTTAAGCTGGATTATCTGACAGTAATCTAATGAGATTCCCCACGGGGATAGATTGATCTAAAATCTATGGGAATGCACCCTTACTGTGATTTATCGGTTACAGTAGACACAATGACACTGCCCTTGGGTTGTTACCAGACAAGTGGGCTCCACATGTTGGCTGGGGCAGCCGAAGCAGTAATTTCTATGCACACAATCTGCATTAGTTTTACAGTCAAGTTCAAGAGACTCTGAAAAGAGAGGAGTATTGGGGTACATTCACTGTGAAACTATCACGCTAAGTAGCTCAAACTAATGCCCTGAAGTCAATCAAATTAAAGATGAACAAGCCTCCTCCTGGCATTGAGTAGCATACAGAAAAGTGATAATTAACACCCCATTTCCATACATCAGATCGACCTACTTTAGATCCACCTAACTCCCTGGGGGTTCACGCTAAATAGCTGTCAGCCGAGCGGACACGAAAGTTTATTACCCCCTTACAGCTTGTAGTAGGCGGGATGGACATTTAAGTCGGATTATCTGAAAGTAATCTAGTGAGACTCCCCGCGGGGATAGATCGATCTAAAATCTATGGGAATAGAGCCTAAGTGATTATGTTGGAAACAAGTGGATGTATGTTTATTTGTTAATCTGATTACATTCAGCTAGAGTTGACACAAAGTACAAACTACTTACCTGTTGTATGAAAGTTTCATTGTGAACTTCCTTTAAGGTGTTGGCAGAGCTGAATACTGGCTCGAAATGCAATGCAAATTTCAAACATTTGATAGAAAAATTGAATTCAGCGTTACAAAGAATTTAGAATGACTGTACAACTAACCTTGAACAACAAACAACAAGAGGAATGTTGCAACAAGCCAAAACCTCATCTTGATGTCCACACTGTTGGTACTGTACGTAGTAGTTGACTTATTAAAACTTCTGCTAGCGGAGATAATTCCCTATTGGGCAGAAAGAGTATTTATACTAGTACTCTGCCGTCTTCTTGGTCACATGATTTGACAACATACAATCGCTATATGTTAGGGAAGTACCATAGCTGATGGACCAATGAAAATGAAATATTTAATTTTGAATTGGTCAAATTGACAGGCACCATTTAGCCAGGCCATTAATCAGGTTTTTATGACTTTGGGGGACATTAAACTGTCCTATTTTGACTTGCATTTATTTTTAAAAGAATGGCTGGAATTTTAAAAGATGTGATATGTGTGATCTAAAAAATAAGACAGGTGAATTTCTCTAAGAGGCTCTAATCTGGAATTAACAAATTAAAAAATACGAACATTGATTGACATGGCTTCGCATGTGATGAGTCATATAATACTGTAAGACCCACTTAACACTGTGCCCCTATCTTATGTAAGCCCTTTTTCCTTTCAAAAAAGATTCACCAACATTTTCATTCACACTGTTTGTAAATTAGTGTTCTGTAGCTCTTTTTTGTTGATTGAAAAGACTGATAATAATGGAAGGTATAAAGTTTTTGGCGGCTAACTGCACCTGCATTTCAGTAGTTGTTGTGAAAGTTTGCAGAAAAAGGAAAAAAGATCAATGATTAATAATTGTATTTTCAAGTGAACATGTTCATCCTGGTTTTCATACACCCCATTTCCATAGATTTTTAGATCGATCTAGCCCTGTGGGGAATCTCACTAGATTACTGTCAGCTTGGCCGGCTTAAGCGTCTGTCCCGCCTACTAAAAGGTGTAAGGGTGTAATTAACTATGGTGCCCGCTCGGCTGACTGCAATTTAGCGTGAACCCCCAGGGAGTTAGGTCGATCTAAATCTTAATCTTTAGATCGATCTAAATCTCTGGGAAAGCACCCATAGTCTGCAGGAGACTGTTGCATGTTGTCCCCATAAGCATATCCCGATTATAGCTAGGGCAAGTCATGGACAGGACTCTTATTCACAAATAAACCTCACACAAATCTACCTTATACAACCAAATGGCAATATAATAACAGTTAATTGTTAAGAAAATGGATTTCTAGTAATTATCATGTGTTTTGAATATTGCACTTTGAATTCTACTCATGTCCAAATAACAATAATAATCATTGCATTAAAGGGGTGCTTTTATCACTAAGTTGGATAAAAGAGATGTCTATATTATTTCAGGTGGAGAAGTTAAAACAGATTGGCCATGTAGCTATAACTGACAGTGAGCCAGCTCGTACCTCAGCCAGAAGATGGGAGGAAAATGGTGTGATTAAGGTACATGTGAAATTAGAAAGAAATATTGGATATTTTTGAAATGATATCATAGCCTACGGATATTTGGAAATCTTTACCTCTTTCATTTTAATCCTTTTCAATTTACTCTGGGTGTTTTCATTCTAAGTGTTAAGTGAGATAGATAATTAGGCCAGACAAAATTGGTAAGGTGGTTAATAAGTGGTAACTCTCTGTAAACAGGGTTAGTAGACAAAATTGATTTTGTAAAACTTAAATCGTATAATTATATTGAGCATGGCAGCTAAGTTTTAAGATCAGTAAAAAAAAAAAAAAAAAGAGGGAGAGTGAGAGGAGTATAAGAAACTTACATATTTATTTTTCACATGGTATTTTGTATTCATTTCAGACAACAGGCAGCAACTACCTGTTTGTAGTTGGTTACAAACTAGGCATTCATCCAGACACTCTGGCAGCATGGTATTATGGAAAGTTTAAACCTGTTACACAACCACAGCAAACTTGATCACTGATATTATATATGAAATAATATATATTTGATGGCAGGCAATAAATGTTTCTAGAAATTTTAAAATAACATTTTTTTTTTGTCTGTGACATTTTTTTTTTGTCTTTCAGTCGCCAAAAAAGTCTTAGTTGGTTTCTACATTGTGGTCCTATGATTTTGTAGGTTGATTTTTTACCCAGAGTAATTAACAAGGGATTGTGAAATACAATATAGGGATTGTGAATCTTGTTACATGTACTCGTCTTGTTGTAATTGTTCTTACCGGTATTTGACCATATTAATGTTATGGAAAGTTCCCTTTCTGTGATTGAAAATTCAATGTAATTATTAACTAGAAAGGGGCTGTTTCAGATTATTTTCCCAGAGACTACCAAAGCTTTAATGTAGCATTTAATTTATAACTTTAATTATGGTATATATATAGTTACTTAATATTAAGTAAAATGTGTTGAATTATAGTATATATATATATTTTTTTTTTTAATTTAAGTTTGGTGCTAATTTTTTATGTCTAATTAATACACTGCTGTGCTTTCATAAGACTACGTACATGTATGCATGTACAGAAGAAGAAACTGGATTAAATATGTAACATTATCTTCTTGTTTTTGGTAAATGTCATCAAAGTTCACAAGCTTCCATTAGTGGCATTCTTTGAATGACCCTTGGTCATCTACAGATTACACATGATGACAGTTCCCAGCCATTGTTAAAGTAAACAGGTGTTCCTCATACTTTTTAATGTACATGTATATACAAGCCTATCACTTCACAATAAACTATCGTAGAAGTCACACGCATTGTTGTTGTCTCTCTCCTGAATAGAGTCCGGCACGTTGGACTCAGTAAAGAGCCATCATATTACATGGTGTCAGAAGTGGTTGCCAGACAAAGGCAACAGTGACGATCCGTGGCAGTTTTAACATTGTGTTAACTGTTAGCATGGAACTCACTGGTATTCCAACAAGCTTCC